TCTCTCTCTCCCTATCTCTCTCTCTCTCTCTCTCTCTTCTCTCTCTCTCTCTCTCTCTCTCTCTGTCCTGCTCTATCTCTCTGTCTCTCTCTCTCTGTCTCTCTCTCTCTCTGTCTCTGTCTCTCTCTCTCTCTCTCTCCTCTCTCTCTCTCTCTCTCTCATTCCCTCTCTCTATCTCTCTCTCTCTCTCTCCCTATCTCTCTCTCTCTCTCTCTCTCTCTGTCTCTCCTCTCTCTCTCTCTCTGTCCTGCTCTATCTCTCTGTCTCTCTCTCTCTTCTCTCTCTCTCTCTCTCTCTCTCTCTCTCTCTCTCTCTCTCTCTCTCTCTCTTGCAGGCACCGTTTGCTCTCAGCCTCATCAGCAGGAAGTTAACCATGGAGCCAAAGGTCACTGTTAACGCTCGGGTCGTGGTGGTGGGGGCGTCAGACACAGGTTTATCGTTCCTGGAGGTTCTTTGTTTCTGGTGAGTCTTCTTCATCACAGACTCCTCCCACAGATCTTCAGTCGACTATATGTAATGACATTTCTTACACCAGAATAACGTCACATGTCATCCTCTGACACAACGACGGGATTAACCTCTTGAGGGGCCCAGGGGCAAACCATTTCTGTTGGTCCCCTGTTAACACACACACACACACACACACACACACACACACACACACACACACACACACACACACACACCTCTCTCACCATCTGTGCAGTGTGTAAGCACCCAGTCGTCTCCAAGTCCCCTTTATGAACAAAACACACACAGAGGTCTGCACATGGACGCAGCCTTATCAGCTGTGATACCAACAAGTGTTCCTATGGTGGTCCTTCTTTCAAAAGTACCTCGCTGTGATGTCACGATCCATATATTCTGTAACCTGAAGCAGTTATCCCAAGACACTTGTCTTTATATTATTTACAAAGACCCAACAATTCAATCAATCAAACTTTCAGACAAATTAAATTTCAGTTCAAAGTGCTTTACAAGAGTGCAGAAAAGTTAAGTAGTTTATAAAATCATTGAGAGACTAATGCACACCAATAAGAATAAAAAATATATATATATATAAAAATGAAAAAATAAAATACGACACATAAAAGCAACAAGATATTAAAATGAATACATAGGAGAAGAATATTTAAAATTTTAGTAGGATAAAAAAGACAAAAAAATAATGTTAAGATTTGAATTTATATAAAAGCCAGACTGAATAAATGAGTTTTAAGGCTGCCATGAGCAGAGCACACAAGCAACATTTAGCAGAAAAACGTCTTTGTCACAGGCAGAAAGCTCGAGCAGAACCAGACTCATGTTGAACATCCGTCTGCTGAGAGTGACACTCGATAAAGACAACCAAAAGTTTCCATGAAGAGTGCAGAGTCAATGCTAGTTAGTACGATTGATCGTCCTTTATTTTCCTTTGTCCAACCCTAGTCAGGCAAACATTTCACTACACCTCTTTTTTTATGTAGTAATCATTTGTTTCGGTCACAAGAAAAATACAAAAACATTTTGAGTGAAAAGTTGTAGGCTGAAGCTTCATCTTATTACACCTACCCTCGTTACAAATCTTATTATTTAAGACTAGTTTGGTTACAAAAAAAACATATCAGAACAAAATTTGTTCCAAGAATTTCTTTCAAAACAAAACAAATGAAACAAACAAAAAACAAAACAAAAGTCACACTCACAAAAAATAATCAAACCGACCTTTTATATTTTATAAGTATAAGTTTGTAATAAGTATTCCACAAGTTAACCCCTTCTACCGAAATACACCTGTTCTTTATGTTTGTCCTTCCCTTTGGTTTTTTATACACACCTATTCCCCTTAGTTCATACCATTTCAGAACAAAAGTACTCTTTTTAGTATTCTACCTTCTCTACCAAACTTTGCAAATCAAATCTGCAGCTAAAGCACAGCTTGAGTGTACACAAAGATAGCTTTACTGAAAAGTGCATCTCTCAAAATGTTATTGACAGGATGGCAAAAAACAGAAAATCAAGCAGACACAACAAACAGTCTGTCTACCTCTTGAAAAGTCTGAAACCCACAAGTGTCTGCACATTAAACACAGACAGCAAACAGACGTTTAACTCAAAGTTCTAGTTATAATAACATGCATTAAAATGATTTTGCTCTTCGAGAAATACTCCAGATTCCACAGAAACCCTGAACCCGAGGAGAGCAGCGCCTCACACTGAAGCTCCTCTTTCATTCCTTTATCGCCTTTTATTCCAGGAATCCACATCTCTGCAAATGTCACTTGACTGCGGGTCGGACGTCTTACATGTTTTGCCTCCGTCCTCTCTTTGTGAGATTAACCGTTCCGGCAGATAATAAGAAGCACGCCGAGCTGCTGATTCAGAAACCTGCCGATAGCTGCCAGGCAACCGCTGCCCGCCGTTGTTTTTTATATGAGCGAGATCTCACAGCTCGCTGAAACTGGCAGTGGCTGGCACGGTGATGATGATGGCGGGGCGGGGGGCACGCAGCTGTCCGAGGCCTGGCATTCAGCAGGGGCCAGCGCTGGGCCCCCCCCTTTAATTAGCCACTCCACTGTTTCTCCCCCGTCAGGGATCTGCTGTGGCGATCTGTGTTTGCTGTCACTAATGAGTTGACTAATGAGGCAGTTAGTGTCCGCTGGACTAATGGTGAGGCGGGCGACGCATTGAGAGCGTGAATGATGGGTCAGTGTCGGCCTGCTGGGGCCCCCCTTATCAGCCCTGCCCAAACGTCCACCCCCCTTCCCAAACACAACACAGCTTTCCATGTGCTCATTGATTCCAGTCCAGCAGCCCCCCCCCTAAACTCCATTACTGTGTGGGACGGGGTCAGACAGATAAAGAGCTCTGCTGCGGCTCGGCCCCTCTGCTCGCCGTGGTCAGGCTGCAGGGTCACCCACGGCCCGTCTGTCACCGCCTGATAACACAGCAAATCCAGGACTTCTGATTCATCCAGACGCCAATAAGAGGCCTTAATGCCTCGGTGCGGCGCTGCAAATCCAACCTTCTGGCACGGATTAACAAGGAAAAGTTTGACTGCACTCATTGTCTGGTGCTCGACTGTTGTTATTCATATTTTACATGTTTACGTCAAAACTCAATCAGAAAACTCAGATCATTCACTTTACATCCGTCTGTGACCTCTGCTTTGATCTAATATTCTGAAAAACTGTTTGGGAAGATATCTTTTCTTTATGAGTGAAATATTAGAACTAAAATGCCTCAAAGGTTTTTGCTTCCAGTGAGGAAAATTCAGTCTGTGTTGAATTCAGCAGCCATGAGGTGAAAGTTGAACTTCTTATTTCTTTGCTGAATTTGTCCTGTGCATCTCACAACCGGCCGAGCTCTGCAGGTTGTCACATCCCTCACACAGTGAATCCCCTAATTGCTAAATGCTGCTACGACATGAGTAACATAACACAGTACTCCCACCCCCCCTCCATCCTCCTCCATCATCCGGTCAGTTTACCAGATCTTGATGTCTGGTTGTTTGTGGATCTGTGCCGGTGGGCGTTAATTTAGCAGGAAGCTGAGATAAGAGCAGCGCAGGAGGCGATCAGAGGCGTCGCTTTGATAAGGACGGTCACTGCGAGGTGTACACACACTCTGCTATTCACCGCTCCAAGGAGCTGGAGCTGCTCTTATCTGCTGCATAATGTCCCCGCAGGCCGCAACAAAGGGAGCTCATTTGCATCACAAAAGACGTTGTATATTGTGGACAGTAAACACACAAGAGGGCCGAGGGGGGCCGGTTCAGGATTTCTTCATGCTCATCAATTACATCTGTAGACGGGGAGGTTTGAAAACATCCACCTGAGAAGATCCTTTTCTTTTGTGCTTCACTGGATTTGAAAATCTTTAATTTTTCAGCATGGACCTTCAAGCTGTGAATTTGTTTTTCTTAAGGTGGGAACAGTTGTGACGGATTTAAGTGTTGACATTTGTTAATCAGAAATACTTTATTAATCCTAGGGGGAAATTCACACAATACAGCAGTAGGAGATAAAATAAAATAGAGATAATAAAATAAGCAGTAAAATAAGCAATAAGTACCAAGTAGGTGCTACTATAATAAGATATATACAAGATAAAGCAATATTTACATTCTGAATGTACAGGATGAACTGTGTTAAACAGAGTTTCAGAGTTAAAAAGTCATCGGATAGTCAATGAAAAAAAAAAAGAAAAAGGCGAACTACTCAAAAAGACAGACCATTAAGAGAAAGGAATGATTCCAAAGAGTGGGAAAATAAACAGATGCACAAAAGGACCCTGAGGTAACAGAACTACAACACAACTTCAAAGTGCTGCAATAAAACCAACAACTCCTACTGAAACAAAAAAAGAAGACCAGAGAGAGAGAGACGCAAAATCAAAACAAAGACACACAATAACAGGGAAACACATAAAGTAGTAATAAAGACAAAGACATGTTTTCAAAGAGGAGACACAAAATATAGCTGCTTTCACACCTGCAGAAATCTCCTGAAAGTCTCCAGAAGTATTCAGTCTGAGCGTCATGTGTGAACACAAACAGCTGAATGTTTCTCCTCCGGCCTCCTCGTATTTATTCTGCAGAAAGTCAGAGTGAGCTGATGTGAGAACGCAGCAGGATATAATCAGCATGTGTGAACAGAGGGGTCAGGAGAATCTCCGGAGCAGTCCTGATCTAGATTTAGTGATCTAGATATTTTCAGGAGTGCAGATGTGAAAACGGCTTAATAGGAAAAAAAAACCCTCAAAGAGACTAAAAACAACCCTGAAGAACCTTTTAAAAAAATCCAATAAATATGAAACATCATTCACCACACGGGTAAGAATCTCTCTCTTGTGTACGAGGGCTTCGAGGATCTTCATGCGTGAACTCAGGAGCCCCTTTGTTTTATAATCCACTTTCTCGTTGGGACCTTTTGAACTCGGCTTCCTCTGGATCTGTCATGCTATGTTACTGTCTGCTAAACAGTGTGGAGAATAAAAAACACTTGAATCAACAGTCAAGGATAATCACTGATTCTCGTCTTTGGAGACTTTTTTTTAAATGAGCTTCTATTCTTTTATCTTCAACATAAAGAGAGTTTAAAGTCCAGGCGCCTGTGCAGAAGAATCTAAGTCTTCATGTTTACCTCACGCCTTCCTGGAGCCTAAAGAGTGTTCATCATCTTTTCCTCTTGGCACTCCTGACCCCTCTCTGAATGAATCCCCCCCCCCCCCAGCAGACATTCCTCTCTGCAGCCCTGAATGTTTAAAGGATAAATCACTCACTCTCGTTGTAGCCCTCACCTGAAGTTCAACAACCTGACTCTCGTCTCCACGCATGGTTTTCCACACGACCGCAACAACCACCATGACGATGACGACGCGTCGGATTTCTCTCCACAAGGTGAGTGATTGAATGTGTCGTGGCATCTCACTTAAAAAAAAACTCATTAGATAAAATACAAAAAGAATGTTCTCAGAAGTGTTTGACCTGAGTTAATGCTTTATGTATTATTGAGCTTCAGTCGCCATTCACAGCTACAAAGAACAAGATGAAGTAAACCTACCTCAAATTAAATGAATATCATAACATGGAAGACATAAGGAGGATGAATACTGTGTCGAGTAGATCATAGAAGAAGAGGGAGGTAGTACGTGAAGGTCAGGGGCAAAAATTCCATCACCAATCACATTAGAGGACACTAGAGGTCTTCTTCATGTGATGACCTCTGCTCGTAGCATAGATGAAGAAAAATACTTTGGTCTCGACTAAAGCAGAGAGGACGGTCATGACCCGCCTCCCAAGGCCTGACAAAAGTCACCATGTTGTGTGTAATACTAAACTAGTAATGAGGAGCTGAGGCGAGGGACTGCCCAGGTCAGACCAGTGACCTGCAGGGACACAAACACACACAGACAGAAGGGTAAAAACACAGGACCAATAGACGGAGCATCTCTCGGGCAAGGCAGCATAAAGTTGTAATGTTTGTTTTTCTCCACTTCCTGCAGTCATGCATACAGCCGCAGAGACCTGGCCCAGCTGCCTCTTCAGTCCTGCCTCGCGGTGGTGACCGGGACGATGGTGGGCATCAACAGGAAGTCCAAGTATGTCCGCGTCTCCAACGGGAGGAAGGTGGCCTACGATCACCTCATCCTCTGTACGGGCCTGCAGTACCAGGTGAGACCACCAGCCCCCCTCTGTCGGCCTATCACATGGTCTCTCTTATGGGATGAAGAGGTTAAAGCTGTTACTTGTCAGTTAATCAATCAATTATCTGGAGAAGCTTTATGAATGAAGACGGCGGTGGTTGTGAAGATGAAACAGTTCGATGGTGGCTGCCGGGAGTCAGGGGGCGGTTATCAGGAAATTAACCGCATTCTTATTCAGTCTTGTCTCCATATAAAACAAATAAGACTCAGCATTTTATTTCAATACTTTTATTGCACATGTCTTCATGACTGTGATTCTCTTGCCCATGTCCTTATATGGGTGCACGCTCATGCATATCCATACACACACACACATTTTTTCCTTTGTCTGAGTCATGCACACAAGCAAACGTTTTAATAGAAAAGAATGGAACAAGAAACCCTGGAGGAACTGATCAAAAATTCATAATTTTACAAAGGGTGGGGGGCATGGGGAATCGTGGGTGCATGACCTTATTTTGGTCATAGGGGGAAATGATGGGCCTTTCTTTTTTTTTACCTGTCATTGCACCAAAAATAAATGCAATCACTGTGATTACAGACTGGGATGACATATGTTGTAAATGCTTCAATATTTGTGTTTTTTTCCAAATTTAAACGAGTTGTATGTGATACAAACTGGCATGTAAAGGGTTAATTTTTTAATTCCTAACGACCAAAATCCATTAAAAAAGTGACACAAATTGTCCTCTGATCATTTTGTGGTCATGATGAGCGATTAGGAATTTTCTAAAGTGGGCACAAACGGTAAACACGCTGCTTTATATTATTCTACAATATTTAAAATGTTAAAAAATCTGTCACGCCTCCTTATCACGATTTAAAGACCTGAGCTGTCGTACTTTATCTGTGTGTGTGTGTCGTGACTCTGAAGATGCCCCTGAGTAAGCCGGTCACAAACAGCCAGCTGCAGAATCAGACGGCTCCCCGAAGACACACCGAGCCCGTCCCCTCCAACCTCTTCACCCTCAACGACCTCCACGACTGCAGGGCCGCTCGCCGCTGGCTCACTGCCAACTTTGTGGAGCTGGAGGGTGAGTGATTACTGAAGACACACACACACACACACACACACACACACACACACACAGAACCTGAAATGAATCCTGTAGTAGTGTGTCATTACTCAGCCAGTCAGCGCTGAAGTGCTCCGGTATAATTAGCTGCTAATTAGCTGCAGAGAAATCTTTCATCTCTGTGAATCAGGGTCGGCCTCTTCCATCCATTCTCCATTATCATATCACTTTCTGAGAGCCGGGCTGTTCAGAGCACGAGAGCAGACACAGTGTCATTAAGCAAAATTAATCTGCCCTCTGAAGGAATTGTGCCCAGGATCCTGAGGGGGGGGGGGCTTTTATACTTACTAATTAGTTGATCCCAGTCATAAAGAAAAATCCATTAATAAATGCTAATTCACTGCAGCAGACAGCGTGTTTATTTCCATATTTTAATAAAATCAGCTGAAGAGAACAGAGTGAATTAGAATTTTATAATAAGACTAAAGCAGACTGTATTTGTGTTCTGTCTTATTACCAGCTTTACATAATATTTGATATATTTAAATACTCAATCTAACAATGTGTCTGTGCCTCTCACTGCTTCATAACACTCACACTGCAGGAGGAAAACTTTAAAAACACTTCACAAATGTAACGTTTCATGATGTCATGTTACATCCTCGGTCTAAGGGAACGAAGACACATCATGATAAGTGACCCCCGCTCTTCCCCCTCCCAAGAAAACCAGCAGACCAGGTCAAATTGATCTATTTTTCGTCTCCCTCGTCTTTCCTAACGTGCAAAGAAAGTAAACACAAGTAAACAAAAATATCTTAGATCCCAAGCTGGTAAATTGTGGTGTTACAGCAGCATGGTATCAAAGCAAATAAAACTATATAAGAATAGATACATAAATAAGCACTTTAAATATAAAAAATAAGAATAGGAATAGATTTATACATCAAGGATTTAACTTAACATTCCTACTGGTTTAAAAAATAAAAAAAATAAATACAACATTTATTCAGGTAGTAGTTAGTTAGTAAAACAACAGGGATTCTCCCTCCTAGTCACTGATGTGTGGCACATAAATATTTACAGTGTCTAAGTTTACAATAGCATCAACAACTCTATTTGATCTAACACAAACAAACAAACTGAAACAACTTGTGGCCTGTAGACAGATTCAGAAGACCGGCAGAGGAGGCTGCAGCAGCTGAGTTTGAAAAGCTGGTTTCAACCAATCAGCAGAAATGTATATACATAAATCCCAACACATTGACACTCACACACAAACATAATGCACAGAACAGGAACAACAATAAAGAAGATGTATAGAGATGAGTTGTTAGCAACCTGAAGAGTTCTGGGGGAGACTGGAGTTTTTGAGCTGCCACAGCAAAAGCAAGAGCACCACTGGATAATGATTGAAATGAAAAAACCTGTAAACCAGGATCAGTTCTAGTGGTAGTACACAGAGTTCACAGGAAAGAGAGCTGTGAAATGTAGACAAACCGTTGAGGGGTCTAATGGTCTTAAAGCTTCAGCTGCAGCAGTGCTCCCTGATTCAGCACCACGGACAGAGACACTTAGAGAGGGAATGTGCTGTGGACTCCAGAACGGTGCTTCAGCGTGGTGTCAGATGCAGAGGAAACATTTATTCATACTTCTGTTTGTCTGATTAGAGGAGACGATGGTTGACATGACTTTGTTATGTGTGCAAATGTACATATCATGATCTAGGGTTTAGAGTTTCTTTTGGCTGATTTATGGTTCTGAGAAGGATATAAAAAATCAAAACGGATGAGCCTAAGTTTAAAAAGCTGTACGAACAATGGGAGCTTCTTAACAGAAATAGCAGAGCAGGCTTTTACTTTGAAAGGTTTGCAGGAAGTGTGGCCGTGCGCTATTATAGCTGAGGACCACACGAGGCTCACGGTAAATTCGACGACCCTCCTCATGAAGGACCTCTGAAACATCCCGATCCATTTGTTTGACCATCCTGCCCTGTGGATGACATCATCTGGTCTCAGGATATCCAAAAACTGACATTTTAGAGAGAGAGAGAGAGAGAGAGAGAGGGGAATGACATGCGGCAAAGAAGCCACAGGCAGGTTGGATTTGAACCCAGGCCGTCTGCTCCGTACATGGAGCTCCACTAGGCTACTGGCTCATCCGCTTTTGACCATGAAAAAGAACATGAACTTGTTTGAACAGTTTTGATTTTCATATTTTAAAACAAAAATCAAATAACCCCTGAGGTACATGAACCTTTAGGGACAAACATTTAGTGAACTCCAGCTGCAACAAAGCAACATGAAGGTACACTCCTATAAATTCATGCACATCTGAAGTCCCCCCGGGGGTTTTTTGTTTTCTTTCTTTGTCCCACATACTGTCGGCCATGATGACCCCGCTGCTCTGGAGAGACTGTACTCTAACGTCAATACAATCAGTGAGAGATACAGAGCACGCACTCTTACATAGGAGACTGTATGTTCTGTAAAACAACAAGAGGGCTCCACTGAAGAGCATGCATCAAAGGATGGATTCACGCGGCACAAACCTATTCTTTTATTGTCTGATTTCTATCTGTGGTTCAGAAAACTGAGGGGCCTCTCGTGAAATGTGCACAGCGCTTCTAGTCCTCTTCCAAGGATTTTTGGAAAACATATTCTTGATTGAAAAAGGGAAATAAATGGTACCATGTCTCCCCTTTTTTCTTTTTCAAATTGAAGCTTGATGGTCAGAATTCAGTTCCTCCAAATGACACAGCTTCTTTTTCTTTATGTACTTTTTTACTTTACAGCATAAAAAATACAGTTTAGGTTGATTTGACTAACTGGACACGTCCTTGTTTCACTCAGAGAACGCCATCGTCTACGGTAACAGCATCGACGTTTTTACCACCGTCGAGACTCTGCTCGGCCTCGGCGTTCGGGGATCTCGTATCCATCTTGTTCATCCACCGCTCGACCCCAGCGTCGCCTGCTTCAGCGAGCCTCCGGTTAAGAAGGCCGTTTACGCATTCTTGGAGGAGGCCGAGGTCCGGGTCCATCATAACTGCGTGCTGGCTCAGATGAACAATGGAGATCACCCTGATCCTCTCACCTCCGTGTCGTTCACCACGGATGCAGAGCCTCTCCACCTGCAGTGTGGAGTAAGTTTCCAATGCCTTTAAAAAATAAAATCTGTTTTTTTTAAATATTCTCCAAACAATGGTTGGTTACTGGCCAGGCTGTGTGAGAGCTGAAACACTCACAAACAACAGGCTGGATTCACCGGCCTGCAGCTGCTGGTTTGGGTGCTAATTGTCCTCCTGGATGCATACTCAGTTTGTCAAACAAAAAGATTATTATGGTGCTTTTCCTGTTGTCATTGTTTCAGAGAGTAGAGGATTCTACCGACGAGCTCTGGTTTGTTTTGGTATTTCTTTGTTTAAAGCAGAAGCTCCCTGTAGATGATGCACTATTGTTCACTCTGGATGTGCTGACAGAAATGTGGCACTATAGAGATGTGGCCTTTTTTTTTTTTTTTTTAACAATATGTTTATTGTGTTTTAAACATTTTTCCAAGACACACAATTACAATTAAATAAATAAAAAAAATAAAAAAAGATAGACACATGCACATATATACAAATATATAAAATAAGGGAGGAAACAAATAAAATATAATAATACAAAATAAAAAAAACAAAAAGCAACATTAGTAATAATAATAATAATACATTTTATTTAAAGGCGCCTTTCAAAACTCTCAAGGGTCACCTTACAGAGCAGAGATAAAAACAACAAAGTAACAACGATAAAATTAACATGAAAAACACACAAAAAAACACAAATGTACAGGATGTAGAGGAGTTATGAGACCGGGTGGAGAATGATCAGACTGAATATGACAGTTTAAAAAAGATGTGTTTTGAGATGAGATTTGAAAATGGAGAGAGAGTCAATATTACGGATTTGTGGTGGGTTACTGTACGTATTAAATAAAAATAACCAAATGGAGTACATTGCCATAGATGATTTGTTAATCACAAATATTCTGCCCGAGAACAGTTTCTGCAAAAATGATCACAATTACAGACATTACCAAGTCTTTACCAGCCTAGCTCTGCCTATGTGACAGACCTTCATCCTGAAGAAAATGAATATATAGGCCCCAGATATCGTCAAATAATTCTTGTTTGTCTTTAAGTGTGTATGATATCTTTTCCAGAGCGAAGAGATGTGGCTTTTTTCAATATAATCTTTGGATTGTCCCTTCATTTGATAGGACAGCTTTAGAGAGACAGACAATAAATGTGAGGAGTGAGATTTGGGAATGACATGCACCAAATAGGGTCAGGACTGGGAGTTGCCCCCGCTTTCTTCCTGACAGCCCCAGGGTGAATTAAAGATGTGATATTCTGAATTTTAAATTAGCAACAAAAGCCAATTAAATTTACCCTCCGCAAAAATATATTGTTGAGTGATGGCTTCCTCAAAAGAGAGTGAAGTCAGACTCCCTCTGGATTTGTTTTTCTTAGCTCTGTGTTCACGTGGATGGGACGATGCTTCCTTCAGTTTGTTTATGTTTCCCTCCGGGGCTAAAACTCGATTCATACATGTTTTTTTTTCTTTGAGTGAACCCTTCCCTGTCCAACTGTAAGCCCTGCCAGCCCACTCAGGGAAGCTGTTTCTAGAGGATTAATTACAGAATTGGCACAAGAAACAACTGAAGGAGAATCGACGACAGACCAAAAAGACAAACTGAGAATTATCAAATCAACCCTGTGATGCATGTCGTTACTTGTAATTGATCCAAAATTCTTGTTTTCAGATGCTATTCCTCAAACAAAGTGATTCCCCGATTTGAAAACCAGGGTCATTGAAAAGGACCTGCAGAGACAGAAAGTGTGGTTACTAAGTTTTAAATGTTCTTCTTTCAGGTTTTCATGAATCTCTCCAACAGAGGAGTCGGCTACGACGCCTTCAGAAGCATCAACAGCTCCTTCCTAGTCTTTGACCGCAGACTCGTCATCAACGCCGCTTTCCAAACCAGCGACTCAGCCATTTTTGGTGCCGGACCTCTCACCAAATTCTCCAGCCGCTACCACACAGACGAGTGGTCGCACGCCAACTTTAACTCCAAGGAGGTGGGCCGGGACCTGGCGGCTATGTTGCTGCCTCTGTTCGACCCAACGCTGGAGCCTGCAGACGAACATCAGCCCGGAGAAGATTGTCTGGTACCGATTTACAAACAGGCCAAGATCCAAGGTGTGATACAAAACTTATTTAAGAACTTAGATAGTTGATAACAAAATGATTTATCTTCTACATCAGTCTTGAAAAATGTTGTCTGTTTGTGACTTAAACTTTTCAACAAATCCCACATGTAGCCTTCCTGCACTAAAACCATAATGTTCTCATTAGCGCCCTCCTATGGCTGGAGGTCATGTAACAGCCTGTGATACCTTTCAGTAAATAGATGTCCCAACTCAGGTGTGGCACCCTTTGAACGCCACAGCCTTCGTAGCCTTTGTAGACCCCTTAGCCTATGATTTTAAAGATCATTTGAAGTTTCAAGGCCCCTTTTTGACCTACAGTATTTGTAGCGATTAGATGGAGTTGAAACCAACGTTTTATTCACCAGCTTCAGAGTCCATCAGTCGGTTTGAATTGGTGCACAATGATGTTGGGCCAAGCTTTAATAATAATATTACATTTAATTCACAAAGCGCTAGTCATAGGATGCACCAGATGAATCATTTGTTGGGCGCTCTTTCGAGGAGCCTTCAAAATGGGAAAGCCTTCTGTAGGAGCCTTATTGCTCATCATGTTAAATTTATGGATGCATGTAATACTTTTTGTTCATTGGATCTGGGAGGGGGAGGGGCTTGTGGACTTAATTGGGCTCAGTTCGGACTAGTAGAGAGTGGAGCCACACAGTCTTTTGACCTCTCTCTCCTCATCTCTCTTTTTGTATAGTTTTGGACTAACCTGTATCTGTTTTTTGTTTATTTAAGTTTAAGTAAACATTTAAACTTTGATCATTTGGTCCCGTGGATTTTTTGGATGAAAATTACTTAAGAGAGGAGTTCTGGGAGCGTCAAGCTACGGCTTCATTCAGTGGATACCTACATTATTAGTCAAAAGACTTGCTCTGCATGGAAACGGATGAAGGAAAAACTAACTTTTCACGGATTTCACGGATGTTTTGGAAGGAAAACACGCTGTAAGTTGTATCTTTTATGGTTCTGCCATAGTCTTTGGATTGAAGCTAGCACACAAGGACCGCATGGGTGTGCGTGTGTGCATGTTTGTTTTACTGGTGTTACGAGGACAGAACATCACAAGACTGACTGAAGTGGAACTCACGTACGTAGAAAGCTCATTCTTCAGCCACCATTTCTGCTAAATAAGTGTGGAACTTTCACTCGTCATGGAGGATCAGGACAGTGAAAAACGAAGAGTAAAAATGACGGAAAAGGCTGTAGAAGAGCATAAGGCTAAACAGGTGAATGCACGCAGGCACAAGCTATCCCTGCTAACAAGCGTGGAAAAGCAAATTGAGCAATTAATGGAAGATGATGCTAACGTGGACATCGTGAAAAATAAACTACGTGTTGACTTTAATGGTTTGCAGCAAGAATTTTGTGACCTAAATTCTAGTTTGCAACAATTTATGACGGAAGCAGAATTTTTGGAGAATCAAAAGAATTAGTTTGATCCTAAAATTAAGTCAATGAATGATTTCTTCTGGAAATGTGAAGAATGGATGAAAGAGGTCATGAAGCGTATTGAACAGGCAGAAGATAGTAAGTCTACATCTTCGAAAACGACCACGAAACGTCGAAGTAGACCTGAATCACAATCTGGAAGTGTGTCGTCATCAGCTTCGTCAGTCAGGTTAAAGGCAGAAATGGAGCGTGCAGCATTACAGGCAAAAGCTAAAGCTTTAAGGGATAAATTGGCGATAGAAAAAGAAGAAGCAGATTGGCATGCAGAAAAAAGATGCAGAGAGGCTTTGCTGCAAGCAGAAGAAAAACGTCGCGAAGCAGAGTTTGAAGCTGAACAAAAAAGAATTGAATCTGCAATAAAGGCCAGAAAAGAAATGCATGCTATGGAGACTGCTCTTGCTGAATCAGATGCAAAAATGGAAGTTTTGCAAAAATATGAATACACACGAGCAGACATTAGTGTTTTTGACACTGATGCACAGTTTGCTAAAACGGAAGTGGCGAATGCTTTTCAACCACCACCATTACTTGACTACTCTAATCCCAAGTATGAACACTACGAAAATCCAGCAACACGACTAAGAGCCTCAATTGCTCAGGAAGTCAATAATGGACCAGTGCTTGATAGCTTATGCAAAGCCATCTCTCAGCAAGCCAATGTAACAGAATATCTTGTGAAGAATCACAAAGCATCATTACTTCCTGATCTCAACATTCCAACATTCAAGGGTGACCCACTTGAGTATAAATCCTTTATCAGATCTATTGAACATGGTGTTGAAGGCCGCACTGATGATCATCGTGACCGTCTGCAATTTCTGCTGCAGTACACAATTGGACAACCACAGGAGTTGGTTAAGAGCTGTATTCACATGGAACCTTCCGCTGGTTATGCTAAAGCCAAACAAATGCTAAAGGAGTTTTTTGGTGATGACTACAAGATAGCAGAAGCCTACATAAAGAAGGCCTTGGATTGGCAGACAATCAAGTCAGAAGATGGGGTTGCACTGCAGGCATTCGCATTGTTTCTAACAGGCTGCTCTAACACTATGAGAGATATTAGTTACATGGAAGACTTGGATAACACAGCTAACATAAAAGCACTTGTTAATAAGCTTCCTTACAAGCTCAAAGAAACTTGGAGAAAATCTGCTTGTGACATACAAGAAAAGACAAAGAAAAGAGCAAGGTTTCAAGACTTAGTTGACTTCGTCACCAAGCAAGTTAAGTATATGTTACATCCGCTGTATGGAAACATAGAAACCACTACAAGCATAAAGGATCAAGTACGACAGAAACCGAAACCACAATGTTCGGAAACATTCAAACCCAAGAAGGTATTCACAACAGCCATTGTTTCCCCCAGAACTGAAAACAGAGTCAATACGGATAACAACAAGTAGGTAACGTCAAAATCAAAGCCTGTAACAGTGGACGCAAACAGCAAGCCTTGTGTTTATTGCAAAGGAGAGCAACACAACCTCACAGTTTGCAGAAAACTCAAGAGTAAGCCACATAAAGACAAGATTGACTTCTTGAAAAGCAAAGGTCTGTGTTTCGCATGTTTGAAGCATGGTCACATGAGTTGCAGTTGTAAAGAAAGGATTCAATGCGACGAATGCTCTCGACTGCATCCAACACTGCTGCACAAAGATTCACAAGAAGAAACAATGAAACAAAGTTGTGAGCAACAATCTATCTCGAGTGCTCTTGTACAAACCACTGAAACCTTTAGTGTCACTGGGGCCGGTAAGGATGATTGTGTTCTATCAATCATTCCAGTCTGTGTCAAGGCACAAAAGGGAACCAGGACAGTGAATACGTACGCATTTCTGGACCCTGGTAGCTCTGCTACTTTTGCTACAGAGTCACTGATAAGTCAGCTTAACATGCATGGACGCAATACAAGCATCTCATTACGAACAATGGGAAATGAATCTGTGGTGAACACCCGCATTGTGACTGGACTGGAAATTAGCAGCCTTGAAGGTAAGCAGTTTTTGAACTTCCAGAGGTGTATTCACAAGACAACATCCCAGTAACCAAAGATAATATTCCCCACCAAGAGGATATTATCAGCTGGCCTCACCTAAAAGAGGTGAAACTTCCCACTATAGAATCAGAGGTTGGATTGCTCATTGGAGCAAATGTTCCCAAGGCGATGGAGCCACTGGAAGTGGTCAACAGTGTGGATGATGGACCATATGCCGTGAGAACAATATTAGGCTGGACAGTGAATGGCCCTCTGAGAGGTGGAAGTGAAATGTTGGATTCAGACAAACGGACAGAAGTTACTGCAAATCGAATCTCTGTAGCCAGGCTAGAGGAGCTCTGGCAACTGCAGTTCAAGCAGGACTTTCCTGATGCTGGACAAACTGAAGACATGGAAATGTCCAAGGATGATCACCAGTTTATCAACATGGTGTCGCAATCATTACAACTTGTGGATGATCATTACACTATTTGCCTTCCGATGAGGAACAAATCATTGTACATGCCAAACAACCGAACAGTCGCTGAACAACGTGTGTTGAACTTACGGAAAAGATTCTCCAGAGATGTCAAGTTTTACGCAGAGTATGTTGCTTTCATCGATGACATCATCAAGAAAGGCTATGCAGTGAAGCTTGACAGTGATGGTAGCAGGCCAACTGATGGGCGTACGTGGTATTTCCTCACCATGGAGTCAGACACCCAGTCAAGCAAAAGCTGCGTGTTGTCTTTGATTGTGGGCGAGTTTTCAAGGAACATCGCTGAACCAACAGCTCCTGCAGGGTCCGGACCTCACAAGTTCTCTGGTGGGAGTCCTCCTGAGGTTCCGACAAGAAGCTGTGGCGGTTATGGCTGATGTGGAGGCCATGTTCCACCAGATAAGGGTCAGCGACAAAGACACAGATCTATTCAGGTTTCTATGGTGGCCTGAAGGGAACTACAACCAGGAACTTGTTGAACACAAGATGTTGGTCCACATCTTTGGTGCAACATCTTCGCCAAGTGTTGCAACTTTTGCGCTACAGCAATGTGCAAAAGATTTTGAAGAGGAATTTGGACAGGAAGCTGCCAAGACGGTCAAGAAAAACTTTTCGTCGATGACTGTCTTAAGTCAACTATTGATGAAGACACAGCAATCAAGCTTTGCACTGATGTGAGAAGCATGTTGGCTAAAGGTGGATTCGTCTAACAAAATGGTCAAGCAACAGCCGGAAGTTGCTTAACTCGATTCCTGAAGAGGAAAGAGCACAAGGATTTAAAGACCTGGACTTGGATGACTGCAGTTTGCCAATAGAGAGAGCGTTGGGAATCCATTGGTGTGCTGAATCGGATCAGTTCAAATTCAAGCTCAACCTCAAAGATCGACCACACACAAGGAGAGGCCTGCTCTCTCTTGTCAGTTCCATCTTTGACCCACTGGGTTTTCTAGCTCCTGTGACACTGCCCGTCAAAAGAATCCTACAAGATCTCTGCAGGCAGAAATACAGCTGGGACGAAGACCTGCCAGAGCATGTTGTGAAGATCTGGAAAAAGTGGATCTCAAGTTT